GCCCACCACCACGTACCGCTCCAGGATATTAATTTCGAAAATCTCTTTTTGTGTCTTTCGTTTGGTTTGCTTTACCATGTCAGTTATAATACTGACACTCTGTAGAATACAGTACATAAAATCATTCCTCTCTATTTTTTAATGTGAAAATCGGAGATCATCCGAGTTATGAAATATACACAATACTATAAAGAGACGATGGCGTTTGCCTAGTACCACTCAAAAAATTTCGAGTTTGAATTTTCTTTTTCTTTTTCCTCAAAATTTTCATCGATTAACAACCTTTCAGTGAGCAATGTTGTTCAGGGGTTTTTCTCAGATCTTCTCATAGACGTCACAATGACCTTTACAATATGTTCGTCAAAATTCCTCACACTAAAACCGCAGTTCTCGGAGAGTGGGAGGAGCTCTTCCTCATGCTTGTGCGTGCGTTTCTCTGTGCCTGCTAGCCAGTCTATTACTCTTATCATATTCTGCCAGTGTGCTAAAACTAAGGAAAGAGAACTTTAAAAAACAAGGCTCACTAACATATATAAGTCTATGTCTACTGACCGTTCTATCACAATTCAACTTCTCACTATGATAATCATTCTACTCTTCGCCTGTCTTCCCCTATTCACGTTTGGCTCACACTTATCTCACCTCCCTGCAGAGCGGAAAGCATGTAAATCGGAAAAGATAACGTAAGTTGAAGAGTATAAAGGTCAATAATTCTTTTTTTCTAACTTTCAGATACATTCCTGTTGAAAAAGACTTTTATGATGAACCCATTGAGCTCTTTTTCGACTCTGGATTGAATTTCAACCATATCCCAGTCACCAAAATTTTGAAAGAGGAATGTGGACTCATAGATAAAGAGACTCCTTCATTGAGCCGACGAGATAAACGCTCGCCTTTTGCTCGGGGAATTTACCGTCTTAGTAAATACTTCATTCACTTTTACCAAAAAAGCAAGAAGATGCTGAAACCAGAACTATTGAGAGGTATTGAAAAAGTCGTGTCGAAGCTCAATCATATTAAGCCATCAACTGGAAAAGTCAAGTTTGCTGGAATCGGAAAATTCTTCCGAGAAGTATGGGAAAACTTGGAAGATGTTCTCAGAGAGGAGAATGATGACCACGTCAATGTGATTCTGGAGCACACATTCAGAACAAGTCTCCAGCTCTTGATTCATCAAAATGAAACCTCCGAAATGATCCTCAACCATCCTAAAATCCTCGACGTAAGTTAAAGTCTAGCAATTAAAAAAGTAATTTTTAGTTCTTCAGAAGATCAAGAAACGTATTCCAGTGGAAAATCCAGGACTTTTGTCATCTGTTAGAGTATCGAGTGTTGAGTGTCATCCATTTCACAGAGATTCTCAGGCTGTGCTCTACTTCAAACTGAGAATTCCAAAGGTTGAACGCTTAACGATCGAAAAGGTGAGGAAGAGTCAATTCCTCATTTCCTCGAACTTATTTTTTCAGTGCGATGACATCGGCACAATAACGCAGAACTCTTATCAGTTCTACGAGATTCCGACCGCAACATTCAAACGAAACGGTCATGTGTTCAAAGTGGACCTCGAAAAATGCGTTTCCGATTCGTTCACGTTTTGCCCATTCGATTCCATTCGACCAACGGATTGCTCAAAGGAGAAACTGCAACACTGCAATTTAAAGAAAGAGGAACTTGGGAACTTTTCGAGAGAATTGCAACAAGGATTTGCAGTCTATGGAGATTTTAAGGTGTTTTATTGTTGTGTGATGCATGGCTTGTACTAACACTAACCCTTTTCAGCAAATATTAATGGAGAAGAATGAGTTACAGGATCTCTGGTTGGTGAAACCACGAACACTCTACCACATTATTCCTCAAACCAATGAAACCATTATGATCGGAAAGGAAACATTGAAGCAGGACACTCACTCAAATGTGACTGTCATTCGTCAAGTTCAATTTTAAAAATAATATTCCTAATTTTTTTGTTTATTTTAAGTACAATTCGCTATCTAGTCAAAAAGCAGCTATAGTACAAGTACTGCTTTAACATCTGAAATTGTTTGCCAACAACCCTGTCATCATTAGTTTTTTATCATTCCGTCCAAAAATTGCTTTCTTTCTTTCTCTGTTATCTCCTCTTTTGATTCCTGCTTTTTTTGAATAAAGCCTGCATTTCCTTCATTTTTTTGCTCATTTTTAAAAATGAGCCCTGCATTCGTTATTCTCTTGCTCATTCTAATTTCTGATGTCTGCTCGGATGGTAACTAAATCTTCCGTTTACAAATTCCTTCTCAATAAACTTTTAGCCGTCCGTTTTCAAACAAACTTAACATCTGAGGAAATGAAGAAGTACTTGGTTGATGAGACAGGAATCAAGCTAGTGACTATCGGTGGATCATCCCAATTCGACAACTATTTATTGCTGTTCAGCTCCATTGGATTGTTTTTGATTTATTTGAGACTGTAAATAAAATTGTTTCAACTTTGAAAACTTATTCTCGTTATAAAAAAGAAGATAGAAAAGGAAAGTAGCTTGAAAAAACGATCTATAACAAAACTATCAGTATGAAGAGAAGTATTCATGAACGACAGGACTTTCAGGAAACTTCTATGAATGGATTTTTCTCGAAGTTATCAAATGTGATTAGCTCACTATCAGATTATGGTCTGCATCTGTTTGACAAAATATACAGCAAAGGTTGAGGACGGTTCTGCTTTTGGACGGAAATTGACCAGGTTGTGGTCGGAACTTGCCCAAGAGCGGCTCTATAGCGAGTCATGGTTCAATTTTGGTTGGAAGTTGGAATAGGAAATACTTTTGAAATAGGAAATACTACTTGTCATGGATTGAATGAATTACCTACACAACTGGACGGTCGGCTTGTAACTTCTATTCAGAATTTGAGGGGGTTCGGACGGACATCGGCCAGATTCTAGAACTTGCTTCAAAAATTGCTCTATAGCGGGCCATGGCCCGATTATGATCGGAAAAAAATTGAGTCCTTCCGAGTAGACCAAACAGGGTTGTTGGCAAACAAAAAATTGAGATACTACTAGGTCGGAACCTTCTCATGGGTTTGTCGGAGTTTGGCCTGCTTTAGTAGCATTCTTATCCAGAAACTGACCAGCCTCCAACCAGAAGTTGCGAGCAACGCCAGGGAAGTATCTCCAGAATAATACCTACATTTTTGAGCTTTATTTTCAATGTTTATCATAGTGAATAATATTGATACTATCGAAAACGGCTCCATTTCCACTTCCAATAGCAATTCCATTGCTCATCTGAGTCATTCAGGCATTGACCGTCGGAAGCAAACGCATCCTACAGATGAAAACTTCTTTAACTTGTGACTGCTTGTTGATTTCTGACTCATTTCATTATTCTCTTTGTTAGTACATTGATGCCAATCCGAAACTTGTTTGTTTTAGTTTCAGTACAATACGATAAGTAGTTCTACGTTACTATAAAATAGTGATGCATATTGATATGATAGTTGAATCGGAACAGTCATGTGCAGTCTAAATTTGATTACTCTACTCGTTGTTTTCTTCACCTCCTGTGCAACAAGTGAGCAACTGAATGAAGCTAGGAAATCATGCAAAGTGAAGAAAATAGTGTGAGTTTCGGAAGAGCTCTTAGTCTGAGTCATAATGCAATTTTCAGGATACCATCGGGAACACCTGTCCTAAGTAAATTCATTTATTTGAATTATCATGATTCATTTCGTTCGAATGTTGTTCAAGAGGAATGTGAAAGTAAGATACAAACTGAATCCAGTTTCTCATAATAATATTTTCAGATCTTGCCGAGTCAGATTCGTTTCGGACAAAACGATCTGCAAGTGTAGTTTGGAGGGCATTCGCAGAAACAGCGAAAAAAGTAGGGAAGCCAGCCCTAAAGTACTCTCTAAGAGCCGCAAGTGTAGGAAAAAAAGTGGGGAAGTACGGCTCCAAAGCAATTGGAGCAGGAGTAAAATTTGCCAGTTCGGATTTCGCATCGGGAATTCTGGGAGCTGTCGTGAAGTTGTGAGTTATTAATAAAAGAAACATTGAAGAGGATTTTCTGAAATCGTTTTCAGGAACAGAAAATACGAAATGGATTCCAGTGAAGAGTTGGTCGAAAGAAGAGACCGGGAACAACCGAAGCGAAAGGAGATCCAGATTTTCAGGAGAAATCTCATTAATCTGTTAGATAACAACGAGATTCAAGGGTACATCCTGCAAGATGAACAAGTTCAAACGGTTAGAATTACAATAATGAAAATTCAAGGTTTTTTTCTGTTTTCAGATTATCAGCAAAATGGTTGATGGTTCAAAATTGAGAGCTTCTGATGTAGAGTGTATCAAAGACGATTTCACAGATACGTATCGTATTCGGTTTCGTGTAGAAGTAGACCAAAATACATGGGTGAAAGCAAGACGATGTGCCGATATCGGGAAAGTTGTGCACAGCCCAGAGGGAGTCAAATCATACGAGTATCATGAACTTCCGGACGAGTTTTTAATTGAACGGAACAATATACCGTATGCTGTTAACTCTTCATTGTGTAGCTCCGTGAGTGATAATTGAATCCAACTGATTTTAATAATTTAAAACTTTTCAGAATCATCCAACAGTGTGTCCTGAAACTGCATTAAAAATGGAGGCATGTGCAGCTGAGTTTGTCCAGAAATGTAAAAAATCAAAACAACCCGTGGACGCTTCAAGTAACGTCAGCCGTATTCTTCCATCCGGAGTCGTCTATTACGGGAATTCAAACGTTAGCTAATCTTTATCAGATGAAAACAAAAATGTTCAACTTCAGGTTCTAACATTAAGAAGACACAACCGCACAATGAAGTTCAGGGTTTATCCCCATGAATTGGAATATTTTCGAATTTCTGAAGGCGACGAAATTTGGATTGGAAACGATCTGCATTTTTATGTATAACAAATGAATTTGCGGCTCTTTTCTTCTTTTCTGTTCTCCTTGCCATTCTGAACGTTTAAAAAAATCAAATGTTGATTACTGTGTGTTTTTCTGTTGAATATTGAAAATAAATTATCCATTATATGTAGTTGTTCTAAGTTCTCGATCCAGACATTGTTTAAAATGAATTGTGTTGAAACCAACTAGAGGTGAATATACTCTTTTCGGGTCCTCATTTCACTATAATTATTATTGTGGTACAAAATTGGAGCTGTATGTAGAAGAGAAACGGTTGTGGCCAAAAGTCTCACAACGACAACGATCGTAACCAAAGCTATGCAAAATGGCGAATTTAGAGGCCGCGGCCGGGCTCGGCTATTTTCTCCCATGCGCCTTTGGGCCTCTATAGAAGCCCATGGGCCTCTATTAGAGAAAACACGGTAAGAATATTTTTAGGTTACGGTAGCTGTCGCTGAGGGACCTTCGGCAACGGCCACCGGCGTCTCTCTCCCCCCGCTCCGATTTTTTGTATCTGAAAAATAGTAATGAGCAAGATAGTAACTTGAAAAAAAGTTAACAGCCATCAAAGTTCCGTTTGTTTAAACTGAAGACACCTTCGTAACCTCACTGATAACGAAAAATTTGAAAACCAAATTGATAAAATTTGTTTCGTCTTGTTGTCGCCTTACTGAATGAAGACTACTCTAATTTTACTCATGTTTACTTTCACCAATAGCGAGATACTTGAAGAAATACGAAAATCATGTGCAACCTCTAAAACTGTTTAGTAGGTTTTAAATTAATCGGATTTTCAAGTTTGAATCTTTTTGCAGTGTCCTAAATGGGGATCACTGGATGAGTGAGCCAAAAGAATTGAGAAATCCCGGTTTGAATATAACTGATTGGGAGAAACTTATTAACCTAACATGTGGTAACAGTTCTTGGGAAAATGCGACAATGTTTTGCCAAACTATTTATTATTCATTCCAGAATATACACCTCTGTCATCTAGAATGCGACTGAATGAATAAAGCAAACCAGGATTTAATAATGAGACTAAGCGGTATTTTGACAGTAACAGTAATGAATGTCCAATTAGAATTTCAGTTTGTATGATCTACAGAATCAAAAACTACAAAATGCATGGAAACAGAGCAATTTCAGAATGGAATTTGTAAAGGATAGCACACGGGTATACGTCTTTGTGATTAAAATTTGAAACGAAAAATTTAAGGTTAAAAATGGATCATTGCTAATCGAAGCTGTCAGTTCAATTTTGAAGTTTAGTAGCCCTTCTTCTTTCTCTATCGGTTGTAACAACGATAAAATCAATTTACGCATTTCCGTCAATTCAGTGGATATGCACATCGTTTCCAAATGTGAAGATATTGGAGAAGATTACAATGATACTTATCAATTTTATGACATATCTCCATCTTGGATGTATCAAATCAACAATCAAACTTACAGTATTGATGGAACATTGGGCCAAACGGTGATTTTGAGTTCCGATTATACCTTTCAAACCTGAAATTCCAGGGTTCTGATTTTCTTGTATTCCCAAAAACGGCTATAAAGCCTGAAAAATGTTCTGTTCACTCTATTAAGAACTGTACAAAGAGAACAATTGAAAAATATCTCAACGCTAAAAGCACTTCATTCGTTAGACAACTATCCGGCGGTGTTGCAGTTTACGGAACGTTCAAGGTTTACGGAACAGTTTACGGAACGTTCATTGCATTATTTTTTCCAAAAACGAGTGTGATTTTCAGAAGATACTTGATTTACACGAGCATCGAACTGCTACCGATTATATAACTATCCATCCTGGATTGTACTATTTCAGTTACACGGAACTGTAGCTATGAACAAAGAATTACTGTACACTTCTAATAGTTTGTTTAATCTGTCATACGACAATTTTTGTAATGAGGAATAAATGTTTTTTAAAAATACATTGTTTATATAAGTGAAGTGGACGATGGCAAAATGAAGCAAACAATAGGAATAAATTCATTGCTTATGATTTAGAGCCAACATGGAGAACATCGACAACACTCTTCATCAGAATAATTGATAGAAATAGAATCATGGATACGGATTTGGCTCTGTGTATAAACCATTTTCATACATTTTCAATGGTTCCAATAGGTTCGGTCTCACAAGACTTTGAGCGACGTTTCGACATTTCCCAATGCAAAGTGTATCGATAATAGAACAATTGAAATCAAAGCTCGCGTTTTGGTACCAGAAACTCTTTTAATTTGGAAATGCGAAGATATGGGCGAGATCAAAAATGCAACCTATGAGTTCTATGATCTTAGTCCGATATGGATGGTTGAAGACGAAAAGGGTAATACATTCAAAGTAAACTTGCATAATTGTCAAGAGGTACGGTGTAAAAATTGAAAATTAAAAAAAAACACAATTTTTCAGAACAAATTTAATGAAACTCTTTGTGAACCTGCACAGGGTAACGGCTGCGCATGGTATATGTCTAGGCGCGCATATAGGATGCTATGTGCACCCATAATAATTCCGTGGGTAGCGCGTGCGCGCTATATGCTTCGTCGCTGGGCACGACTGGTCGCCGGTGGGCACGCTTTTCCCATGAAAACGACAACCCACCAACTCCGATATTACGCTAGTGCGCGTTGTTTAGCAAAATTTTTCACCGCCGATCTTGATCAATTTTTCGATCATATTGATCATATTTCCTGCTTTCAAAGAACTTCTCACTGTAAAACACATGTAAAAATTCACATGTAAAAATTATGGCTAACGAAAATAAAACTTTTAGTAAAGAAATAGGTAAAATTTTTTCAAAATCCTGTTTTTCTTGAAATAAGGACTTTTCTGTTTTACTTCGGAATAAGCGGAATAATATATTTTTCAGGTGAAATACAGGTTGGTTGGTAAGTTTTCCGATTATTACAAAGTAAAAGTAGGAAAAAATCCGAGAAACACAAAATTATTTCGAAAACAAAATTATGCGAATTAATGCCAATTTCAAGACTTTGTTGAATTTTTTTCAAGTTTTCTATATCGCAATTTTGAAGGAAAAATTTATTATGTTATATCATCCAGATATTTTTAACTTCCTGCCATAATTTTTCTTGCTGTGAGAAAATTCTGAAAAATGGAAAAATGGTCACTCTGTGAAATCTGAAAGGGAAAATGAACGATATTGGAAGATCTGAACAAAATCACATCTTATTACAACTATAGTTAGATGAATTAATCTATATAAGAGATATCCATCGCCAATACGACCTGAAATTGTAGATGAAATATGTCTCGATGGCGCATGCGCGCATATAGCGTACTATTTACGCGCAAACGGTGTACCTATGTCGTCCATATCGGGCGCCGCGCCAACGCATATACCATGCGCAGCCGTTACCCTGTGATAATGCCTCGTGTTCGGTGAATCGTGTTGAAACATGTGTAAAGACAACCGGTCGACCGAAAGGAATAACTGGATCTTCCCAGACGGAACTCTCCCAGACGGCATCGCTATTTATGGAACATTTAGGGTGAATTTTTTTCGAAGAGTTTCAAAAACAAAAATGATTCAGCACTTCTCAAAAATCGATCCAACTTCTTCTAGAAAATTCGGAAATGTAACTACTCACGATGGCTTCGGATCAATCTCACCTGGACTGTACTATTTTAGTTTCAATCATTCTGAAAAATATCAATAGTTTTATAATAAAGTGTGCCCATCTTCGGGTTTATAAACACAGTGAATACTTTCTAAAAATGAAGTGAAGATTACTGTTGGTTTGAGACAAATTTTCAAAAATTTGGAAACCGCAGATTACTGTAGTTTTGGGAGAAAAATAAAAAAAATCAAATAAAGAAGACTACTGTAGTTTCGAGAGAGAAAAGAGAGAAGAGTTAACACCTGAAAGTTTTCAAAGTTGAATTTTCCTGTAGATTTGAGAGAATATTCGAAAACTTTTTGAAAACTTGAATACTTCTAAAATTGAAGATTATTGTATTAGGTTGGCAACTAAGTTTTTGTGCACTTTTGTTTTCCTATTTTCTCTTAACTGAGCTAGAACAATAATATGTGTGTAACCGGATATGGTATACAAGATGATAAGGTTGTTCACATCAACCATCATTTGCCCTGCTCTCATTCCGCTTTCGAAGGGGATGCCCCTTTTGATACCCACTGTTTTTGGGTGAAATTCCTGTTTGATGACGTCTACTGGCTGTTTAACGAAGTCAAGACATTGGGGTTTTCTGTGATGGTTAGTATATATGACCCTTTTCTTATCTAAGGTGATAATATAATTCAGCCGCTTAAAGTTCCCGAGTAGAGTAAGAAGTTGCATGCTCATGTCCACTCGCCGCTGAACATCAAAACTGGTCGAAAGGGTGAGGTATCCGCCGTCCAAGTTTTTTGTTCTTTCCCAACTTTAACAATCCATTTTCAATAGTGGTATGGGTTATCCCTAAAGTGATACATTTCACGGGTAGATTGGAAAGGGTCCCGTCCTACTAGATCTCTCAGCTAGTCTAAATCTTAAAGAACTGGTCGCCCGGGACAACTTTCATCTTTCATTGAAAGTCCTGGTTCTTGAATTTGCCAACGCAATTTATAACGGACATGATCTTTGCAAACTTCCACCAGGTGGTGATGAATATCGAATGCTTTCAGGTAAGAAATAGATGTAAACAATATACAGAAATTTCACCCAATATAAGAGGAATCCCGTTTGCAAGCGGAATGAGAGCAGGGCAAATGATGGTTATTGTGAACAACCTTATCATCTTATATACCATATCCTGTTACACACATGTTACTGTTCTAGCTCAGTTAAGAGAAAATAGGAAAACAAAAGTGCACAAAGACTTAGTTGCCAACCTAATAGTTTTGAGAGGAAGTTCGAAAACTTTTGAAACTAATTGTAAGAGTACTGTAGCTTTCAGAGGAAATTTGAACACTTTTAAAATTGGATTAAATACTGTAGTTTTGAGAGAAATTTTCAAAAATTTCAAAAATTGAAGATTAATGTAGATTTGACACGATTTACACTAGGTTCAATATTTCCGAGGGGTTTAGTTTAGGTTCTAATATTATTAGGTTAACTTCTTTAAAATCGTAAAATTGTCTTCATGGTTTACATTAACATATATATTTGACGTCACTATAAAAATAGATCAATTGATTAAAAAAATATATTTTCCCGAAATCAAAAATTCTATCTGTGTGTACTTCCAAATCACGGCGTATTCTAAACGTTTATTTTTCCATGGAATGACCTGACCTGACCTGACCTTATCACCATAACCTGCTCTACTAACCTTAACCAATATGTCGATGAGCAGATCTCAGATAAGAGGAACTGTCAGTTCCAACTTTGGGAGCAGTCTACTCCCCTCTCCTCTCCTCTCCTCCCGTCCCCTCCCCTACTCCTGCCTCTTTTCTGGAAATCCCCCCACCTCTCTGGAAGATTGGTCGACGTTCTGTTTTTCTGTGACGATGAAGCATAAGGTAAAATAGATGTCTTCATTAGAGCGCGTCTTCCACAATTGTCAAAATTTCCAGAGCCTTCCTGCACTTCGAAGATTCTTGTTGGAAAGCAAATCAAAGTGGATGATCGGATCATTTCAGCCACTTCGGCCATTTCGTCCATTTTAGTTTCTAGTCTCTAAAGTATTCAGTATGTCTAGGTTGTATCCCTGTTTCATTTTGATGTGTTTGAAGATTCAGTACTGATCCCAGTAGGCACCGCGGGATCTGGCCATCTGGAATCAGATGGTCATTGGGTTAACCACGTCCAGGTCTGTACTGAGTTTTTAGACATTTCATTATGATGCTCTGATACCATCTAGTTCATTCCGGCCAGTTCGGCCATTTTAGCTTCTAGTCTCTAAGTTTTTCAGTATGTCTAGGTTGTATCCCTGTTTCATTTTGATGTGTTAAGAGGTTCAGTACTGATCCCAGTAGGCACCGCAGGAATGGAATCAGATGGTCATTGGGTTAACCATGTCCAGGTCTGTACTGAGTTTTTAGACATTTCATTATGTTGCTCAGATACCATCTAGGCCATTCCGAGCACTTCGGCCAGGTCGTCCACATCAACTCATTTTAGCTCCAAGATTCTCAAGTATGAGGACACTAATTCCGGAAAAATCTCAAAATCTGGCGAAAATTCTCTTGTTTTCCTCAGTTTCCGAACCAAATCTTCTATCAACAAATCTAAGTGATCAATATTTTGCATCAACCTGAATCCTACGTAAAAAAAATTGATGTAGTTCCGACGAGTCCGAGCTTCAATTTACAGTGTCAAAGAAGACACCCAAATGTGGTTCAAACTCAATTTTCCGGAGTTGAACGTGGCACAAGAATGAATCGTTTTCTCCTCAAACTGGAAACCAAGGCTGTGCCAGAACGGCCGCAGCACCTCAAAAAAGGATACTTCTGAGATAGGTAGGGTACGGCGGCCTATCGGCCCTAGTAGTACCTGGGTAGCGGAGCTTATTTTCAGAAAAACGTTCGGATTGGTCCACGACAAAATACCCACGGCCTCAGCCGCGGCCGATTTTCGCACAGCCTTGCTTGAAACTACCGTAAAACCTCTAATAGAACGACACCCGGATCGTCCACTTTGAGCCTATTTATCTCATTTTCTGTGAAAAATATCAAAAAGTGGCTAACTAGTAAAATGTTGCTGATATCCTGATAAACATTTTACTAGTTAACCACTTTTTGATATCTTTTAAAAGAAGTGAGATATATAGGCTCAAAGTGAACGATCCGGGTGTCGTTCTATTAGAGGTTTTACGGTAATAAATTTTTCAGT